GGGAGGCAGCCGGTTTCCGGTAACGGCGGCGGGACGCGGTGCTGGATGAGAAGGCGGCGGCAGCAACCTCCTCGTTAGCCGGGGCCGGGCTCTTTCTGCTGCTGGATGCTGGTTTCTTTGTCGTCAGGCCCGCTAGAAAAATGACAGAGTATAAACTGGTGGTGGTGGGAGCTGGTGGCGTGGGCAAGAGCGCCTTGACGATACAGCTCATTCAGAATCACTTCGTGGATGAGTATGACCCGACAATAGAGGTAAACGATTTCGCCTTGCCCTTTGTGTGAGGAGGGGTTTGTCGGCAATAATGGAAGCTGTTTGCTTTGGGGCGGTCGCCACGAAAACGTAGAACGAGGCTTTATGTTTAAAAGAGCTCGGAGATAAGCTCAAAGGTGATGGTCAGCATGAGCTTGGTATGGGAGAGGAAATTGCTGTGCTGCTTGATCTGCCTGGTGCCTCTGCTGCTGTAAAAAAGCAACAATTTGGATCCATCCAAGTACGGTTTCAATTGGCACGTTTTGTTGGAGGGTTTGGACGCATGTCCTTAGGATCTTGGTGATAAAGTATTTGCCAAACTCACTTGAAGGTACTTGGCAGAACTCTCTGCACTCAGCCCTTTAAATGTGACTTTCTTTTTTTGATATCAAGAAGGAAAATCCGTAGTTCTGATATGTATGTGTCAAGCTTGCTTAGCTCTCATCAGTACCTGTTGTTAGGGTCTCTTTCACACAGTGAGAAACGTGTTCTGCAGTGCTACAGTGAATGAGGCAAAATTTTATATATATATTTTTTTTCCTCTTTGTTAAACAGATAAGTGTGTGTTTCTAGATCTAGAAAAAATGTTACAAGATAGCTGCTGTAGTGGATTCTTGGAAATACATGGCACAGTTCCTCAAAATACTGTATTGAAGCTTTACGAGTTGCAATGTTTTAAAGATTTTTAATAGGCAAGTAATCTGCCTTTTAAAGACAAGAAAAATACTTGTGTTGTCTGAAATCTCCTGTGGATCATTGGATTTAATAACCTCAGCCCATATAAAAAGGAGAAATGACACTATAATTTGCCCAACATTTTTATTCTCCCAACGTGAAGCTCTGTAACTTATGATTTCATTTATATGTTTATGTAATGAGGCGCTTCCAGGCTCACTTGAAGGAATCACAAGAGTTGAGATTTAGGCTTAAAATGGTGACTTGAAAAAGGGCTTTGTAATTTTCAGGTAGACCTAAGCAGAAGGAGCCAGTGCCCTGAGATGGTGGGAAGCTTGTCTTACTGTCAGCCTTGTATTTTGCTGGTGTGCCCCAGAGGGAGATGTGTTGGCTTGACTTTGAGTTTACCTTAATGTGCCTGTGTGTCTTCTCTGTCTGTTGCATGGCCCAGGTACCCTCATGTGTGCTTGTAGATTTTGTGAATAGACCTATGGAGAGATAAAAAAGTGACTTGCACTAGGAGAGCAGGTCTTTCAAGTGCTAAGATGTAGAATCTTAAAACAACAACCACCCAAAATGTGCTTAAAAAGCAGAGGAGACACAAAGCTCGTTGAGAGGAACATGCAGAACTGATTTTTACTTTTTCCTGCCAAAGGAACTTTGGGATGTTGGTCTTTTTAACACTTGTTCACAATCATCTGGGTTTCTTTTAGTTTAGAGGTATGTTTACACATTGGTGGAGGTTCTATGCTAGAAGTGTTACATAAAGCCAGAACTTTGTAATCAGTTTGGGAGCACAAAATCTAAATGCCAATATTCCTAAATTGCTTGAGGCTATTTGCTAATCAACAAGTTGAGTATTTTTAGGATAACCAAATACATTTTAATGTAAAATAATAGAAAGAAAATACAGTTCCTTAGAAAGAGAACTTAAAAGCCCAGAACTGTGGCTTTTAATTCATTAGAGTGCAGGAGGACTGTAGCACTGTGTCTTGGTCCAGAAAAAGTATGTTCTTCAGCAAGAAACCTCTGACCTGAAAGGGCTTTTATCAGCATCAACAACTCTTCTGCAACTCCTATAGGTTATTTTCTGAGCTCTACTGTTTTTGTCTTGTAAAATCTGAGACCTTTAGGATGGAGGCTGTACCTTCTGATAATGTGATAAATCACCTTGTGTGCTCGCAGTACTATAGAATAATAATGTATGTGCTAAAGAAATAACTCGGTTATTATAAGAGTGGTCTGTAATTCGAAGTGGCAGAATGGGCTTGTAATTGGATTTAAAGGCTTCAGTCCTTGCCTGCACAGAATCCCGTTCAGTTGAGAAGAGTTGCTTGATTGTGCTTCCTGTGTAGATGCATTTGTAGTGGTAGGGGCTGATCAAAGAACAATAGCTGTAGAATGTTTTTATGCAGTACAAGGAAATAAGGCTAAAGTTGCTTTGACTGGTAAATAGTTAACAGTTAAGTCAGTTCGGTAGTGTCATTACTATTGTTTCTCACTTATTACCGTTTCTTTCATTGCCATAAAGCTTTGCCAAAATCCTGATTTTTGCCTTGCAGATAAATAATCAAGCTAAATATTTTGGAGAAGACAGAGGAGAGTTTGCTGTTTGTTATCTATAGTGGATTCTCTTAACTACACACTTAATTGAATAATTTTGAATTTCTTCTGTGATCAATAAAATGAAACTCAACACTTCTAAAATTCTCATGTTGTGAAGATGAAAAAAAATGCTAGTTACTTAATCACAGATGCATTTACAGTGTTAATGTTGTTGCTGTTCTCAGTGGGATAGACTTAATGATTCAACAAAACCTTGTTTGGAAAATGTCAAGTTTCATGGCCTGCCTAAGGATTTTATCTACTTAAATCTGAGGGTAACAGATGACAGGGACCAGGGGGAGGAATTAAAATGGGCGTGTGTTTGGGTGGCTACTATTATTCAAATATATGTACTTCGTGTGGGTTTCCCAATTTCCTATCATATTTGATGTGGATGTCCAAGCACAGGTTTATATCCAAGAAATTTTAAGTGCTTTTTAAGCTTTATGTGCACTAACCCTTATAAAATCTGGCCTAATTCACAGTAGGACTAGTGCCCTCTGCTGGTCCAGGTTTGTTAAATCTTCTTGTGTGATAACATTTTATTTTTTTTTAAAAGCTTCAGCATGTTTTAGTGCTAAATATATGTCCTCTTTTAATTGTCCTAGAGAAAGAGCAGCCTTCCTACCTGCCTGTCAGAGGTTTTTCAATTGGATTAGCAAAATCCCTTGACTTATTTAGGAATACTGATCTTTTAAGTATATGTTCTTAAATGATCTCTGCACTTCTGAAACTTCCACCAATATATAGTCTTAGTAGCTGTGATATTTTAATATTAAATCACTGGTATAGTCGATTTTTACAAAATTATTGCTGCTTATTTAGATAGGATTTATTAAGCAGTGGATTTGGTTTTGGTTTTAAGAAAAATTCCATATGTAGCGTATAGCTGAGATTTCCTATCGCATTTTTTTTCAGTCTTGTGAACAGATGGAATTATTACTCCTTTAGTGTAATTTGTGCTAATTTTTATGGCTTGTGAAAGACAAATAAAAGTGGGTTAAGTGATTTATGAAATTAAAACTTTTTGCTGGAGATATGCTGAGTCCATATGCCGGGGAAAAACTGCAAATTCATACTTGGAGTCAGGTATTACTTTGAAATTAAATTTGCGTTTTGTTTGTACTTGGTGGCCTTTTACTGGGTGTTTCTTCATTGCATTCATTGCTGGCAATCTTCCAACGTGCAGTAGAGCTACTGGATTTTTATAAATTACAAAATTTATAGATTAGAAAGTTGTTTTTTCGTTGCTGAAGGAGAATATGACCATTTGGGTTCTGCAGCTGCATTTTGAAGCAGAAGTGCCACAAGTGCTGTAACGGCATGGCTTTTTATTTTTTAGTCCATTGTACGTTTTGTTGTGCAGGACTTGATAATTTTTACAGTATGGTAACACCCAAGATAAAAGTTGTTTATTTCAGTGTGTTTACACTGGTGTTTGCCATGATGGGGGTGGAGGTCCCAGTAGCCTGGTAGTTTTTTTTAACGTGGTGCTTCAGTTTTCTTTCTCACAGTGACAAATGTGATTTCAGGCTTGATGTGTTATGGGGGTTGGTGGGGAAGGTGTAAGAGCAAAGTGGTTATTACTTCAGCAGCTTGGAAGGAAATAAAAAGATTGAATTTTCTCTCCCACATCTCTTTTCTTGCTTTCCACCTGAAACCCCATTTCTAATTAGTGACAGAATTTTTTGCTGGGCAAAACAAATACAGTCTCCAAGTGTTCCTTCTTGTACTTGTGCTGTGTTTTATGCTGGCCCATCTTTGCTACTACTGCGAACGTGGTAGGCGTGCTACAGCCAGCATTGCTTAAAAGTGATGTTCTTTTCTCTTAAATGATTTCTTTGATGAAAATTACACAAAGCTTTTGTTTAGAGCTCAGTTGGGAGGAATTTCTTTTCCTTTGAAGTGCTAAGGTGTGAAGGAATAATACAGGCTTTTCAAGAACTGGTTTTCATATTTTTAAACAAGCAGTCAAATTGCAAGAAGAGAAAATGAAGGCTTTGTAAATAGGCCTAGTACAATGCTAGAACTTCTGCTAGTGAACTACTTGATCACTGTGAACTGTGATCAAGGTATCACAGGACATGGCAGATCTGCTATTGAATTTAAGTTAATTGGAATAATGATCCTTTGAGGGTTTTTTGGTGTGGTGTTTTTTTTTCCTTTAAGCGATTAAATATAGTAGTATTAACACATTGGAGCTTGTGTATTTGTCTCAGCTATATCAATATTTAAACATGGCTTGCATACTTCTTAAGTAAGTTACCTACTTCTTACTTGAATGCTGAATTTGCATGTCTGTGAAAGAAATATTCCCAAAATTATGTTGGAAGTAAATCGTTATCTTTAAGGTAAACAGTCAATATTGTTTTAGCCAATACTGTTAAATGTCATGCAGGAACAAGATAAATGTGAGATAACACATTTTGTTTACTTCAAGGTACTGATTCTATACAATTATCTCCTCCTTGGTTTTTAGCATGAGCAGCAAGAAAGAAAAGAGCCTTTTGTAAAAATACAAATAGATAAAAAATGCACAGGAGTAGTGTACTGTGCCTTAAAATGGGTATGAAGAAGAGAAGGTAATTCTGAATTCATCTTGAAGTTGGCTAGAATTACAGCTTTAATTCCTTAATTCCTTTCCCAGAAGCTTATGTTCACTTCTGTATAGTGTTAAAAAGAAACAACAGCAATATTGTGTTAATCTCCAGCTAAAGGATCTGAAAGATAATACCTAGATTTTGTGTGTATACCTTTTATTTGTTGCACTAATCTCCAGCTAAAAAGAGAATCTGAAAAGGATCTGAAAGATAATACCAAGATTTTGTGTGTATACCTTTTATTTGTTGCAAGTAGTGCTTACTGAGAGTAATTAATAGCACTCCTCAGTGACCTATTTTTAAAGCTTATTGTTTTATTTTGAATATATAGATGTTAATAGAAAATAGAGTTATTGGGCAAGTAATGCTTATGTTCTTATTGCTAAAACTATGTGGTCATAGGAGCCTAGCACCAAAGAGAGCTGTAACTAGGCATTAATGTCTAGTTGCTTGGGTCTTTTTACAGATTTTAGTCACTTGAATCATCGACCTGAAAACTTTGAATTGATAGCATTGGAATAATTTGTTCCTACATCTCTATGAACCCATCAGGGCTTTTGTATGACTGTGTTTGTCTGTCTTAGCAAAAGCTTGAACTTCCAATATATCAATTTAATTTAGTTGACTTCATGACATATACCATTATATGAACCTGCATAGTCATACAAAACAGATTTTGTGTCCAAAGCACTGAGGGTTTTGTTTTATATTTCATCTCCTTTTAAGTGGCATAGGTTTTTGGAGTTGTCTTACTCTTGAACCCTTTCTGTTTTTTTATTTTCTACATTGTTCTGGCACAATGTTTTCATAAACATCCACAGAATGAAGGTCAAATTTTTATTTAAAAAAAAAAGCTAAATTAAGTAAGCTTAAACAAAGTCAAACCTTTTAAAATCAGGATTGCAAGTTTCTTCAATTTTTCTGTTAATAGGGACAGAGAGGAGATGCTTTTGATCTGGATCCAATTTGTACTTTTTGTCCTTTTGTGCAACATAAGAACACTGTCCTCTGTGTGTGTGTGCCTGCACGTGTACTGTTGCTCACTGAAGATTCAGAGTACAGAGAAACACGTGTCCTTTCAGTGCTCTTTCTAGTTCAGAATTACTGTATACATGTAAATACGGGGCACTGTTTTCCTACTGTCATTTGCCCATCTGTAAAGTTGGATTTTAATTCTAAAGTGTTTCCAGTCATGAGTAGTAAACAACTTCAATCTCCAGAGTTACTGGTGTTTGAAATTTTAACTTGTTTGTGTTTAACCAAGGTTTATGTTTTGTTGTTTTTTTCTTAGGATTCCTACAGGAAGCAAGTAGTAATAGATGGAGAAACCTGTCTCTTGGATATTCTTGATACAGCAGGTCAAGAAGAATACAGTGCAATGAGGGACCAATACATGAGAACAGGGGAAGGCTTCCTATGTGTATTTGCTATAAACAATACGAAGTCTTTTGAAGATATTCACCATTATAGGTGTGTATATTGAAAGATAATTGACTAACTCCTGTATTAGGTGGGTAGGTTGTTTGCTCTTCCACTAGATAACAGAATGGTCTTTTATGAAGTAGCATCTAAGGGGAAATTTGCAAATTAGCAACACTGCAACTTATTTTTCCATTTGTAAACCTGTGATTTTAGGTAATCTGAAAATCTCCTCCCTTGTTGGCAAGTTAGGCAGACAAAATGTCTTCCATTATAAACTAATGTGATTTAGTATTTCTGCCTGTTTATAATGAAGGCTTATCTAGAGGTAAACTCAGCCTATTACATAAAGAAAACTGTCTGTTGAGATGGAAAAACTTAGGCAATTCAAATGGTACAGACAGTAATGTGAATTGTTAACTTTTATTCTGGGAGTGTAAGCAACCTTAAGAAGTATGGGGTAGAAGAGTGGACAGTGATGGATTAAGAACTGGCTACACAATAGAGCCCCAAAGAGTTGATCATCATTGATCAGCAGATCAATGGTGCAGAGTCCAGCTGGAGACCTGTAACTAGTGGAGTCCCTCAGGAATCAGTGCTGGGTCCAGTCCTGTTCAACATCTTCATCAACAACTGGGGGGATTGGCTGACACACCTAAAAGGCTGTGTGGCCATTCAGTGAGACCTGGACAGACTGGAGAGCTGGGCAAAGAGGAACCTAATGAGGTTCAACAAGAATAAGGGTAGAGTCCTGCACCTGGGAAGGAAAAACAACATGCACCAGTACTGGTTAGGAGCTGACCTGCTAGAGAGCAGCTCTGTAGAGAAGGACCTTGGAGTCCTGGTGGACAACAGCCATGTCCCTGGTGGGACAGCCATGTGACCTTGCGGCCAAGGAGGCCAGTGGTATCCTGGGGTGCATTAAGAAGTGCCCAGCAGGTCGAGGGAGGTTCTTGTCCCCCTCTACTCTGCCCTAGGAGACCCCACCTGGAGTGTTGTGTCCAGTTCTGGGCTCCCCAGTTCGAGAGGGACACGTATTTACTTGAGAGAGTCTAACAGAGGGCTAGAAGGATAAAGAAGGGACTGAAACACCTGTCTTACGAGGAAAGGCTGAGAGATCTGGGGCTGCTCAGTTTTGAGAAGAGAAGACTGAGGGGATCTTACTAACATGTATAAGTATCTGAAGGGTGGATGTGAAGAAGGAGGGGGCCAGTCTCTTTTCAGTCGTGCCCTGTGATAGGATGAGGGGCAGTGGATCCAAGCTAGAGTGCAGGAAGTTCCACCTCAACATGAGGAAGAACTTCTTTAAGGGTTGCAGAGCACTGGAGCAGGCTCATGAGGGAGGTTGTCCTACTCTGGCACAGGGATTGGACTCAATGATCTCCAGAGGTCCCTTCCAACCCCTAACATTCTGTGGTGGAGGGGAAATACCTGAGCTCCAGGATGACTGCTAAAAAACACCTGGTTATTAGTTTCAAAACATGCTCTCTTTGTCAGCTGCACTACTACAGAAATAGTAGCAATCTCTGGTGATTACTATACCAGATAATTCATAAATTAGTAGCTTACTATTATAGTGATTTCTCCTTGGATATTCTTTTAGAAGGCAATGCAGATTCCACCACAGATCACTGAGTTTAGCAGCATCAGTTCAAGATTAGTCCTAAACAGATAATGTTAAGCTAGTCATAGGCATTTATAATGCTGTCAGATCTATGTTGCTGTATGGTGGAGAGATGTTTTTCTACCACTATTACCCACAAACCCAACATTTACTCATAAACTGAAGTTGCACATTTTCATTACAAATAGAAGTTACGTTTCCTTCATTTAAGGTGGGATACCCTGACAGTTCAAGGTAATTGAAGTCAGGAGGTGGTTCTGCCCTTGTCACATAGCTTCATTTTCTCCTGTATGCCAGCAAATCAGCTCATTTGGTTGTGCAGTGTGCTGATGTGAGTAGCTAAACAGGTAGATAAGATACCGGTCTACACAGTAGACCGTGTAGACACAGTAAGTCTACTGGCTTATCTCCCTGGAGCAGCTGCAGGTTTAGGGGAGTATTGCTGCAAATGAAAGGGACAAAATCACTGTGTACTAACCCAAGGGGACATCAGTGTTGAGAATGTAGGCACTTCTTTCAGCACTGTTTCTTGTTTTATATCTAGTTTCAGATAGCCAGCCTTTGTATAAATTCTGTTCTGTACAAAATTTTCTAACTCAGTGTATTGGTACTGGTGATTTCTTAAAAAAAATAAGCAGTTTAGAGTTAGCACAGCAGGGATCTATATTGAAAAACCCTGTGTCTATTGCTTTCAGAAAAAAACCCTGTAAACTTCTCTTTGTTATCTAACCAGATTATTACAAACGGGTTGTGGAGGAAGAAGGGACAAAGGTAAAATAGAAGTTGACGTAAGGGGGAAAAGGAGCATTCAGGTTTTGATATAGAATACTTCCTTCCTGAAGGGAGAGTTGCAGGTTTGAGTAAGATGGCTGCCTCAATTTATTTCAAAGAATCTTGTGAGTTGAGTGCTGGAGTTTCTACTTAGCAGTCACACACCTGTGGATGGCCTTGCAGACTGAAGCTAAATGCTTACAAATAAATAATAGTGACTATGTTAGTTAAGGAACATAGTGCTGGATTATTTGAGAAGGCAAAAGTAATTATATTAATGATTTCTATTTGAGATTCTTGACAACTACATCTAACTAGTATTTCCAGATACTTTGTAACTAGTGTTTGAAAGGCCTCCCTCACCTGCTCTGTGTAGAGAACCAGACCAGCAGTCTTCAAGGTTTTAAAACCTGTCTAAATGGAGAGTTTGTAATGCTGCCTTTAATTAAAAAAAAAAAACACAACACAAAACAAACAAACAAACAACCCAAAATAAAACCCCAAGCCAAACAAAAATCAATACAACAGGCACAGCACTTTTGACTGTGTTTTATCTTAGCAAATGAATATTATGAGTAGTGAGTATGAGAGAGAAGTGGGAAGATTTATACCAGAGCTGCTTAGGCTTCTGGCATTAGCTGTTAAAAACATAACAAACTAACTAAAAGTAGATAGTGTAATGACATAAATATCTATAATAGTTAGCAAAATGTCAGCCTCATTATTAAAAAAAATAAGATTATGAACTTGATGGCAGGATTGGTCAGTTTATTTTTTGATAGTGTATGTGCAGTAGATTTAACATAAAGAAAGATGTTGGAATCTGTTGAGTCAGTTTTGTTTCGTTGTTTTAAAAGCTTCCATATAAACTATTAATATTAACACCTGTTAAAGAAAATCTGTCTTTTTCTTTTCAGGGAACAAATAAAGAGAGTTAAAGACTCTGAAGATGTTCCAATGGTGCTAGTAGGAAACAAATGTGATTTGCCTTCCAGAACAGTAGATACAAAACAAGCTCAGGATTTAGCAAGAAGTTACGGAATTCCTTTCATTGAAACATCAGCAAAGACAAGACAGGTAAAGCTCAAAAATTGCCAGACAAAAATGCAGAACTCTTATCTGAATGATCGTGTTAATTATTCTAGGCATTGACAATTGCTTAGTCATATCAATAGATACATTTCTCTAGAGTAGAAATTCTTGTGGTGTCTCTTCTTTCTGTCAACTCACTGACAACTGGCGATTGTTTATTAATGAGTGATTCACTTTGGTTGCACAAACTCCAAGAATGAGAGCTGGGTTGCTGTTCCTTTCCACTGTCAGGTGGTTGCAGCATTCCTGACATTGTGATAGATTTTGATAGAATAAAACGCACTTCTTACGTGGAAGTGAAATATTTTTTTTCCTAAGCAAAAGGATTAAGCAGGCAAACAGCTCAATAGTTTATTCTGTTTTAAGCCTTTTCATTAATAACAAAAGGAATTTTTCTTCAAGATTCAGTATTAGGGGGACATGCTTGATATACTGGCTAAGCAGTTGGCCGTAAGTCTCTTGAAATTACTGGATTAATTCCTTGTGTAAACGGATACTCTTAAGATTTTAGAGCTTATTGTTGGTTTATTGTACCCCCCTGGTATGGGTGAAAGAAGCAGCCATTAGGGTCCTCTCAGTGCTTCTCCCAGGGTTTGCTGGGTCAAAGGTACACAGGTCCACAAAGGTACATCTGTGCATTCTGGAGATGAGCTGCACAGATAGAGATGAACCTGGAACTGTATGTCTGCAAGAAAGCACAGGTTTTGAAAAATGCTAGTTTTATTTCTTCCAAGAGTTTAAGGCTTACTCTCAATACGAATTAGATGAGGCCAGAGTGGCCAAATAACTCATACTCTCTGCATAATCAAAGTGTTACATGCAAGTTATGACTCAGGATTTAGGTGTTGCAGAAGGAAGCAAGTAAGATCGTAATACTGCGGTTTGAGTAACTGCTCAGTGTAACTGCTGGATAGATTCAGCTGCATCACTTGGCAGAGTTTTTTTGGCATAAGAAATTAATATTTTATTAGTGCAAAATTGCTGCACCCATCTGAGTTTGACAAGTTGAGACCTGGACTAATTAGTAAAACTTTACAGAGAAATCAAAGGAATGCTAGCAGAGAACATTTCTGTCAGGTAGAATTAAAAAAAACCAGAGCTACATTACTTTAATGGCTGAGAATAAATTAGGCCACAAGAGTGTGCTGAAAAATGTGGCATGTACGTCGACTGAATAATCACAGTGTTATTGTTTGGAAAGTCCTGTATTAGTGGCTGTCATTGAGATACTAAGACAAAAAAGGAACAACTCTGAAATGACACTTGGGGTTTGAAATAACAGAAGTTTTGTATCAACATCTAGATTTTACTTTGTTCAGCCTGTTTTATAGAGTGTCAGGCTTCATTGAGGAAAGAACTCCTTTTCAATAGCTGCTTTTATTAAATAAAAGTATGTTGATGATGTATTTTAAAGATTTCTTCTCCCACCCTACCTGCAGTTTACTCCTACAAGCAGACCCACCTTGGCCAACCAATACAGAATTGCATGCCCAAGGATCACCACTCCAGTTCTATAATCTTCATTAATGCAAAGTAGTATCAGCTTTTTTATCTTTCAGACTTTTAAGAGGTGTGCCAGAGGCTTGCACTGGTTTCATAGGACAATAGATCAATCATATGTGAACTGTCATTCTATAATTTGACTGCTCTTATCTGTGACTTTATATTTCTGGAGGTGCCAGCTGAAATGTTATAGCAGGGATCTGACTGTTGGCTTTTGTTTTTCAAAGCTGAGCTTTACACCCTCTTACAGATAAGAAGTGCCTAAAGGTGTCTTGTGGATTTTAAAATAAAGATGCCAGATAGACTCTTTTGAGAATGTTGGCTTCCAAAAGCTGGAAACACTAGCTGTGGTTGCTGATTTTTTCACAGTGCTGTTCATAATGTGTTATGAAACTGTTTCATAAGAGGCTGTGTTAAGAACATATTTTTGAGAAAAAGAGGGAATTGGAGGAAGAACCTGATCTTTGATTACAGCAAGATAATCTAAATATTAACACATGTATTTGTGTATGTATGTGTGTATACATATACATTTACATACTACAATTTTTCAGTCATACTGTCACATAGACTTTTTATATATACACCTTCCAAAGTAAGTTTTCAAATTAGGGGATTCAAACATGGGCATGTGGCCCATGGGCTACATTTGGTAGAATTCAGTCCTTGTCTAAAATTTAATTTAAAAAAATCTGGCCCTCTCTGGGTGGTGTTCTGGTAGCTTCTGGAGTCTGTAGAAAGTCTGACATGAATAATTAGAAGTAGGAACCTTCTTTTCTGTATACCTCCCACCACGTCAGCCCTTCCCTGTGTCCCACTTCTGCTTGAGCTCAGAAGGAACCAGAAAAGTTTCTGGGGAAGGAAATGGGGGAAATGGAAATGAAAACGAGTTGTCCATGTATTCTGTTTTGATTGCCAAGACATGTTGTATGCTCATGCAGAATGATACTTCATTTCCAACTAAATCAGCTTTTAAGATTTAAAAAAATTCACTGACAGGGGCAAATATAGTAAAGAGAAAAACACTGAAATGAAGTGCAGAAATAAGTTGTTGCAGAAGTTAGTGTATTTGCTTTTATTTGGTTCCGACTAGCAAGGAAGATATAAACTTTACCTTAGTACAAAAAGGTGGTGTTTTAAACCAAATGTTGTTGTGAATTTTCATACAAACGATTGAGTTAATCAGAGAAACATTTCCTTAGTGGACCCTGCATCTTGGGTATAAGGCTACAGGTTATTCATTTTCTAAATTAGACCACTGACTAAAATGAATATCATGTATCTTCACAATCCTTATGTAGAAGAGTATGAATTTCTTGGGTTTATTTTAATAGCTGTTTTCACTTATTTATGTTTGGCACAAGCTTTAAATTAAAATTTATCCCTGTTCACATGAGCATACTGCTCCCAATATTATCAATAGTGACAATGAGAGATGAAAGGCAAACTTGATTTCTCCCCACCAAGGCTGCATCCTGTATTCTTCACTGAGCTTCCATTTGCTGGTGAGTTACACAAGGAAAAGCTGTAAGGCTGTACCCCAAATGTGGTTTGACTGTAGCATTTTGTTTTCCTTGGAATACTTCAACTGTCCTGCTAGTTTTGAATTCAAAGGAAAAGCAGATACATGGGCATTATTGTAAACATAGTAAAGGATTCCCTAAAGTGTTAGGTCTTGTTGAGAATATATATTTAAACACTTTTCAAGTGTTTAATGAAGGAGTTGACCTAAATCATAAGGATGCTGTTAAAAAAGCATTATAGCTGAAATACTGTCTGAGGTATAATTGGTTAGGCCCCAAACTTGTGACAAAAGTAAGTTGAGAACCTGTGGCTGGTCTGATGAAGTAATCAGTGCAGTATTTACAGAACTTAATTCCTGCATCTCAGTTAAGAGTCATGAATAACTGATGACTTAATAGTTTGCTTGAACCAACTTTCTATTTTTCTTAGGCATTTGTCATATCTGTTTAATGATACTGTACGTGTTTCACTCCAAGCCATTTTTAATGCCCTTCACGTGTACAGGTTCCCTTTTAAAACTTTGTTTTCCATTAGTTGAAACTTTGTCAGACTTTACAATATGGCTTCAGTTTTTTCATGTCACTTGTTTGTTGTAAGATAAAACTTTACACAAAAAGCTCAGTCCTTCCCCAAAACAAGGCCCAAGGAAAAAAAAACCACAACAATTTGACAAGGTCGAAACAAATTCTGGCATCCAGATTGTGTGCTGAGTGACTGCAGGATGCTGAGAAAACGTTTGTTATTTAACTGACATAAATAGGTACAAGCTAAAAAACGGATATGTGTGCACAGTAGGTGAAATTCAGGTAGGACAGTTGCAGTTAAGTCTCTTCTTAACTTGGAAGTGATTACCTCTGTAACTTGAATGATTTTTTGCAGTATTTAAAATGAATTTACTGATGTATGTCTGGTATTTAACCATCATAAGATAATAACATGATAAGCTTAACAGCTCCTTCCTCCCTAAACTAGTGAAGGTTGTACATGTAGTGGAGTTGTAGTAACTGTTTGCAGACAGTCCTTTGAAGTATTTCATATGTTTAAGAGACAACAAAAAATTAGCCTTAACCTGTAAGCTCCATGTTACATGAGCTAGTGGATTTTTGCAGGCTTTTATATTCTCTGATATTTGCTAAGCTGATTTACAACTACAAAGTTTTGTATTGGGAGTGTTTTTATGCAAGTGAGTAGCATTCTTTTTCTCATGTCCTCCTGAATAATTTTCATTTTATTTATCTAACAGTTGGGTTTAGGAGGCCAACTCTGATAAAGCATATAGAGGTGGACAGGGAACACTTTTCAGATGTCAAGGCTAACTTCCATTAATTTCCTTTAAGCGCTGTTTATAGAAGCAGAATGTGAAAATTCCTGTTTGTACTTTGATCTGTATTTGAAAGTGTCTTTCTTTGTACACAGTCATATTTTAAATTGAATGTTTAGCTGCCTCGTAGGAGTCAAAAACATCTTGAAAACATAGCCTCAAGGTCATAGGTTCTTTGGGCTGTTTAGATTTTTGAAGTTCTTAATATTTGCCAAAGTATATTTTTGCTTCCAGTTCTAACAGCTGAAAGAACTGGTTAATCATATTTTAAGTATATGGTCCATGCTTAGTTAAGGAAAAGATACTGAAGAATCTTAAAACAAAATGGTATTAAAACGACTTCTTAAGTTTGTAAGACGGGCACCTGGCTCTTTAAAATGTCACCTTGTGCTAGTTAAATTAGCAAACGTGTTTCTGTACAGATGTTCTTTCAGAATAATTTCTTTCAACAGGACTCATAAGGCTGTTCTTGGTGGTGGCAGTATTAGCAATTTCTTTTCTCACTCTGCCTGTGTCTTTTCCTCTCTCTGCATTGCTAAAGCAAATTACAGCTCATATTGGTGATGGGAAAGTTGGCAATAAACATTGACTGAACAATTGTTATCTAATTATTCACGTGCCAGCTACATAATCAAAT